TATTTTGATACGCATCGCAACGCACATTGTTTATTATTTTGAAACCATACACTCGCTTGAAAAAGATTAAAAATTCGAAAGGCCTCGCGTTAATAAAACTTTATTTATTTATTTATTTATTCTCTATTTCTTTTCTTGATTATTTTTTCTATTCTTTCTCTTTCTTACTATTATTCATATCTTTTTTTCAATTAAAAACAAAAAATTAAAAATTAAAAATAAAACAAAAAATTAAAAATAAAACTAAATCAAAAAAATTAAAAAAACGAAAAGTAAATTCTTGCAAAATATACATGTTGACTTGTCAAATTTAAATAATCACAACTAATGTAATGTTTTTTGTTGCAGTTTATGTAGGATACATTTGCGAACACATGTTTAACATATGCTTTTAATTAAATGGACACTGAGGGTAAGAATAAGAACAAATTTAACTTTTGCATAGTACAAAGATTTCTGCAACAAAGATTGTAAAATATCCTTCAAGAAAAAATAATAGAATAAGAGACCTTTTTTCTAATTATAGTTCCTAACAAAATTTAAAAACATTTTGTAGAAAACTACTTTTTATCGTATATAGACACTCATTTAACTGCCATTTTTCTAATATACAATTCTATTTAAATACTTAACGTAGATCATAATTACAATTGTGTATTTGCTTGTCTTACAAGAAAAATAGAAATATGGTGTAGTCTTTTCATAAATGATTTTATCTTCTCACCCATGACGTAAAATGTATGTGTAACACAAAAAACGAGAAATTACATGCGTGATCAAACATCACATATTAACCATATTCATAGCCATAAACGACAGTAATAAAAATAAAAAAGAAGGTAATAAAGACATCGAATATTTTAATAAAAGATGAAAAGAAATCGATAAAATGACAATGAGCTAAGCACAGGAGAGTAAAAAAAGTTTGTTAGTGCAGCTTGTGTAGAGCTGGAACGTGGAACTCATTTATTTATTGTAGTCGTGTCATTATAAGACATCATCTATAACTGAAAAATTTCTTGTCAACTGTATTTATTTCTATATAAAAAAAAATGAAAATATTTTTTCATTTGAGCATACTCTATTTTATGCACAAGTTTTTTATTTTACTGTCAAGTAATTCATGAATAACACTGATGTGATAATACATAATTTATAAGCATTTACAGTTCTTTTTATATTAATGTATTGTACGATTAAGACCTTCCAAAAAAATTTACCATAATTTTTTCTAATAACTTTCAAAGCAATGAATATTGTGGAAGAATCGAACTCATATTCTTTGTACACTTTGATCTGGGTTTTATTGTTAAATAAATCTGAACCTAGGGTGTGGGTGTGGGCATGTGAGTAAGAGAGAAATGATACCCACACCCACACCCACACCCACCCACACAGTCACCCACACTCACCAACGTTCATATTTACACCGTCCGAGGAAATTGAGCATACAGCGGAACGTCTCTCCCTGAATAATGTATAGGCAGCGGTTTTTCAACAACCTCAATTTCTATCGGTTCCTGGCCGATCAATAGGGTTTCGCGAAAAAATGAGGCTATATTCGAGCTCCCCGCATCGAATTGCCTGTACGGAGCAAGTTTTCAAAGAGTTTAATTTCTATTGGTTTCTGATCGACCAATCAAACACCGGAGAAACCGGCGAATTTTCGTTGACAAGACTCAATACTTCAGGATTGAGAATAAGAAATAAGTATAAATATAAAAGTCAATGTTACTAAAAAAGCAGAAGCTATCTCTTTTGATCCTGCAGCAATAAGTCGTCCATCAACATTGGTTACATCATTTTCGTACAAAATACTCTGAACTTTAACAAGTGTTGAATCATTATTACAATATAATTTATCACATTGAATCGTAAGAGATGGAGATACATCGCCGTCAAAAACATAAACTCTAGGTTTATTGGATGTATATTCTTCACACCCTTGTGAAGTTATTTTCTTGTTTTTTGTGTCAAACTTAAGTGAGCAAAGTTGGGTTGAAGAACATATAATAACGTTGTTTTTTGAATCATAACAGTTGATTGGACCTTTTCATAAAGGATTTTCGATATGCTGTGCAAGTTCTCTGTAGATACGACTGGCATCATAGTTTCGAGCAATCATCTCAGTGATTCTGTTCTGTGCGTATGAAATAGGACAATCAGTATTTTTTGAACATGCATAATGTACTTCGTAAGAAAAGTACGGTCCAGATGTAATGTAAATATAATCAAAGGATAATCTACTGTCCCTGAATTCCACAGAATAGGATTGTCGATCATATTGGAACTTCATATCAACAGAACAATAGGACGATGAAGTACGTTTTTGACATTGACCATTCGGAATACTAAATGTTTTGTTAAATAGATTGCTAATAGAACAGTCGACTATGCATTGAAGAGCATATCCAGTGTGTACGATAAGTAAAAATAGGAATAATAACATTAACATTTTGTATTTACTACTTTCACACACGAAAAAGGCTCCTTTTATATTCTTAACAGTCATCAAGCGAAAGATACGTTTGATTCATATCGTGTTTTACAAAGTCAATATTCTTTTTTTATTTCTTATATCGCATCATAGTATTATTCATCAGTTCTCGCGACGCACAACACGATATCAGGCCGCACCAACAACAGAATACTAATCATTAGATCAACCTACACGATTGCAGATATTAGTAACAACGAAACGTAATATTTTACGAGATTTTTTTTTATCAACGTCAACATTTTCAGCAAAATAATTTTTTCCAATGTTAGTCTGTAAAATAAAATTGAAATAAAACCAGATTCGTTTAAAAAAAATTGCCTTTTGATTTTTTTTCTTTCTTTCATTCTCATAAGTGTTTAGAGAAGTCGCCATACGAGCTCGAATAGTAATATACGTATCATCATATACAATGCTGAGAGATTTTTTTTGTAGGAATTTCTCTTATCAATAAATAAATGATTGAGAGAATAATTCCTGATCGGTTTTTTGATGCAGCAAAAGACCTTGATCAAGCATTAACACATATTGAAGGTGATGAGAAATATCGATTAGTATCATTAACAGAAACAATTGAACCAATTAAATCACTTCTTTACAATGCTGATTCAATGGTTGAAAAAGCAGAAGGAAATTTTCGTGAACCAACAGATGGTTTAACTTCTGATGAATTAGGTACTTTTCATTTGTATACAATACAATGTCTTAAAACCTCATCCAACTATATTTACTTTACTTGATGAACGGTTATGTTCTCAGGATAGAAATAGTCTCATATCATAGTTTGTTTTTATAAAACTATTTTTAACTGCATTGTATAAATTTCCATCATTTAAAGGAACACATAGGGCGTGGTGTTCGAAGACATATATATGATTACTATAATGAGAATCACGTTTTGTGAGGTACAGAGATTTATCGGCAATGATGGTGTACGAACTATTTTCACTATTGGATGTAATAACGATAAATCTGTAAAATCTTATTCTTATTTTAAAAGAGAAAATGAAATCTTACTTACCCAGGTCAAACCAGCACGGTCGTAAACGACCGTATACGGAGAAATACGACGATTTACATGGTCACGTATTACGATCGTATATCTCCGTGTCGTATACGGAGAAATACGGTGATATACGGAGCAAAATACGATCGTAAACTGAGATCGTATACGGAGTTCGTATACAANGCTCGTATTCCAGTACTCCGATGATACTCCGGCGATACTCCAGTACTTCAAGCTGAAATCCAACACAAAGAGTAAAGTTGATAATTTGAATCATACTACTGAGACACATGATGGAAGATAGTAGATTCTCACTGAAATGTCCATTGCGAACAGCACAAAGCATTTCTTAGCTGCTGGAGTACGATGCGAAGTACGGTCAGGAGTACCGGAGTACCAGCTAGAGTATCGGAGTATCTAAGATCTCGGAGTGCCGTTTCCCCCCTTGCTATTAATCGAGGTCGTTTAAAAATTAAAATAAGGTAAAAAGCAGCCTTGCAGTACTTTCTCAAAAAATATTCGGAATAAACTATTACGTTTGTTGTACTGCCATGTACTCCCTGTACTCTACATGATGAATTCCATAATATGGCAGCATTACATGAACTTGTATCAGGTAAGTTTATTTGGAAAAGCTCCAATTTCATGTGCGTGACTTCGTTCACTAAATCGCACTTTGAGCATACTTTAAGTGAGAAATTGTCAGAAATCGAGATGAAATTAGTAGCATCGAAGTGACACATCGAAATTTCTCTCAAATATTTTCCACCAAGTATCTGAGTCGTCCAACTTCTATGATTTATGCTTTCGATGATCGCAGAATAATTTTCTACAAGTACTAACTCGAATATTAATAAAATTCTTTTCGTTTTTTAGGTCTTCTGAATATAAATAAATTAACCACAACAAGTTGTGTATTAATAAAACAATTATTTCAACCAGGATGTGAATATTTATTATCATTATTAAGTGCACGTCTTCTTCATTTTAATTTACTCTATGATGGTGTTATATCCTACGAAACAGTTCAAGCTATACGTTATAATTTTCCTTATTTAAAATCTTTTTCGGCTTGTTTACCTCATTTTGAAGATTTTCGTGATGCAATTTCATCATTTATCCGTCATATGAAATCACTTCAATATCTTCATATTGGTCTGAAAGGTGGTAATAATGAGAAAAAAATTTGTCCACAAGATATATATGAATGCTTTCAACGACATGATATTTCTTATGAATTTAAATTACATATCGATACATGTACAAATTCAATACATATTTGGTTGTAACTATTGAATTCATTTATTTCTTATCGTTGATTTTTGTATATATGTAGAAAATAGAAATCTTGAATGTGATGAACAAAAAATGTTTTTCATTATATAAAATAAATGAATAAAAGATGAAATAAAATAATCGTTATAATTAGATGTGCTGAAGATGATGATAATTCTAATTCTTTTTCACAGAAATTACGACCAATAGATAGTTGGATTTCATTTCCAGTTAAATTCGCTGCAGAATTTTGAAATGAACAAAATCGAGACCATCTTTTTACAACAGTAAATGTACCATTACCACGACTAAAAAATTCTTTATCAAAATAAAGAAAACATGTGAAAAGAACGTTACCATTCTGTATAACCTGGTCTTGATAATTGTCGATGAGTAATAATATAATAAGCTTCCGTTACATGGCCTCGTTCAATACCACAATCAATCCATAAACGTGTTGTATTCGTGACAAAACGTTACAATAACTTTATCAAATTTAACATACCACAATCTTTTTTTTTTCATGAAAAAAATCAATTCATTATTAAATTGTCGATCACCATTCAAACGTTGTCGATGGAAATTTAATGATCGTTTGATTATGATTTTTACTTTCATATTTTCTATTTCACTTTATTATACTATTTTTATTTTTCAATAAAATTCTTTTGAATTACATTCATCAAATATAATCATTTCATTAACAAGTACACCTGAACGATTTCATTATGAACTTCCTTTTGTGATTCATTCGTTATTATCTCAAACACAATTACCAAAACAAATTCGTATCTATTTATCATCTACTCTTGTAATTATCAGACAAAAAAATCTCACATTAAGACATTTAAAAACGTATATAAAACGTTTGGATTCATCAAAAATTACTGAGAAATTATTTAATAAATTATTACAAATTCGATGGGAAGAAGAAGATTATGATCCGACGATGAAGTTTCTTCCAATTATTAAAGAATTTCAATCGAAATCACAAGCAATTATGATTTGTGATGATGATCAATATTATCATCCATATACTTTAGCAACATTAAATAAATATTCAACTAAATATGAAAATAGTATTATTGGTCTCAGAGATTGGCGAGGTAAAAAGTTTAAAAGATAGAATCAAGAGATATAATTTAATCTTTTAGTTCGTGAAGATTTGATTTGGAGTCTTGAAGGTAAATATGAAATAGGTTATCATGTTATTGAATCTCATTATCTCTCTGAAGTTTATCGTGTTGGTGTTCTTACTGCAAATCATGGTTATTTAATTCGTTCATCCTTTTTTTATTTTCATATTTATCAAGATTTTAATCAAGTTTCTGATGATATTCGTCATGTTGATGATATTTGGTTAAATGGACAAGCATCAAAATTAAATATTCCTCGTTATGTTATTCCATCATGTTGTTCACATATTGAAGTTACTTGAACACATGTACTTGAACAATATTTTGATAGAAATCAAATGAATAGATTATCAGCTAATAATCATCCATTACAATGGTTTATTAATAATTGGAAAAAAGATTTATGGTATAGATTTCAAGGTGAAAATGGACCAAAATATCGTAGTTGGCAAATGATGATCTATCGAGAATGGATTAATTTTATTTTAAAATTAAAATTAATTTTTTATTTTGGTGTTATATAATAGAAAAAAGAAAATTCAGGATAGCATCCTGATTATATTTAAACTAAAAAATCTCCTTAATTAAAACAAGGAAAATATAGTTTAAAGTCGAATTGAATAAGGAATAGAATTTATTTTCGGATCGAATGAAGATGTTATATAAGCATGAAGACTTGGACGTGAAGTTGGTATACAAATAGCATAATTATGATCAAGAACAGGACGAAACCAAAAGAAAGATGTAGTGATATAACGTACAGATGATGGTTCATTGTTTACATGTGATGTTGTTTCGGGATAGAAATAATACTGATCAATTGGAATAGAAGGATTTTCTATATTATTTTTTGAATATGGAATCCACGTTGGGTTATCATTAAATCGAACATTTTTTATTGGTTGTATATGTTCATATTGAACTTTTTGATTAGACCAATTTGCTGTTGATTCATAATCATGTGGAAAATCCATTGAAACAGCAAGTTCATCAAGTCGTTGAACTTGATAACATGGATAGATTAAATTTTCATCTGAAATTGTTTGTTGATCATTAGTTGAATTATAATCATATTTTTTTGTTTGTTTAGCTATTGGATAAAAAACTAAAAAAACAAAACATAAAAATTCAAAAATCGAAATCTCTTTATTCACTATCATAATCCGTAACTGTATCAATAATTACATCATAATACATTGGAATAATATTTGTATTTGTTGGAAAACCAAGTCGTGCATTTGGATGAGGTGGAGGCAAAATATCATCGAAGAAATTTTCTTGTTTACCTGTAGATTGATTTCTTATTGGAATTGGTAGATATGATGGAAAATTTAAAAATGAACGTGCAATATCTCGATCAAGTTTAGATACAGATGAATACATATGAAACTGAGTAAGTATCAATTGCAAAAAAAGAATTTATTTATAGGTCAATCGATGATTTGTCAAAATGTTAATGTTCTGATCTTTTTTGTAGATAATCTTTTATTTATTTAAAAAGAATAAAAAAATTATGTAAAATCGACTATCGGATGGTAAAGCAAAAATTGTTCATTGCTTGCATCGATTAAAATAGCACCTTCAGCGCAATTGATGAATCAATATCATCGATTAAACTACTTCCACTATCATAAGTAAAAGCTTTTGGTGGATAAGGAAAATTTTCAGGTTTTTTTGGTAATGCAGGTGGAAGTTAGGTTGATGATATTGATTTTGCCCTTCCTCGAACAGGACGAACAAGTGAATTATAAACTGTATCATCATCTGTTGATAATGTTCTTTGACGTTCAATATGTTGTGAATCATCTCCGATATCCTAGAAAAATAAAAGATTTCATAAGATTTTTGAAAATTTTTATGAAAATACGAACAACACTAGTAGCTCGTTGTTGTCTATTATTATTTCGTCTTTGAAGAGCTGATGAACCTGAACGATAACCTTCGTCAGTTGTTGTTGCTGTTGTTTGATCATCTTTTATTGTTGAACTTTGATCACTACTGCTAGATCGTTTTAAACATTTAAATTGATCATCAATAGTTGCTTGAACTTTTGGATATCGTGCACGAGAACGATGTGATGATGTATTATGATGAGTTGATGATTTAAGTATACGACGAATTTGCATATCAAATGATCGAATAAATATATGACAACTTGATAAAACATTTCGAATTTGTGATGATGATGATGATAATGGTGATACAACAAATTTAAGTGGAGCATTTGTTGGAAAAACAGCAATATTTGATGATGATAATGATGCACATATAGCAAATTCTTCAGTACGTGAACCAAGTAATTGTAAATAACCATTAAAATCTTTATATGCATATAAACCTATCTCAATAAAAAAAAAAAAAAAAAAGATAATGAATTAATTTAAAATCAGACAAAACTAACCGGGTAATTTAGCTAATTTGATATTAATAGGAATTGGAAATTGTTCGATAAGATTATGAATTGTTTGTAATTTATTCACATTATTTGAATCATATTGTCTAACAGGTATTAAATTAACTTCATCGACTGATGAACATGGAACATAACAATCTTGTTGTTGTAATAAATACATTTCAATGCATATTCAGTTCGATTTAATAATTGTTTACCCAAACAAAACCACCATGAGAAAGCATAATCATCATCTGTTAAACCATCATTCTCTGTTGGTGTATTTAGATACGGTTCATTACGAAAAATTTCCTTTGAAATCCAACAAATTCTAGTGAAATAAAAAACGCAGTTTTCTCTCTTGAGTTTTGGGCTCTTTCTCTTGGTTCCGAAAAGTTCTGTTTATTCGTCTTGATTTGTCTTCGAAAGATTACAAAATCATTTTTGACTGTAATTTTGACTAAATGAACATTGGCGACCTGATCCACTCAGACGTCAAGATCGTAGAAGAAAGCAAAGCAGCAGTTAAGCACGGATTCGAAAACACAGCAACTTCATTGGAACATTCTCGCACAGGGAAAGTTAAATATGGCTTCTGATTTCCTAAACAAAGCATTTACTCCAGCCGTTTTTCTGCGTCATACCCTTGGATTTTGGAAAAATTATATGCTCCATCAGTGTACCCCATTTAAGACGTTTTGTAGCCAATTCGACACCTTCGGAGTTGGCAGTTCTGTTCATACTGGTAGACTGAAAGGAGCACATCGATTTATTTTTGAGAATTCTTCGAACTTTTTTAAAATACCTCGATCATTATTTTTACCGTCCTTCCGACGTTTCTCGTCTGTCTGTCTGTCTCAAAACCGTTAGTGTTTAGGAAATGTGTCAGAAATTTAGAGTGTGAAAGTGAATCATGCTCATTACTCTACGTTAAAAAATATCAAGTTAATTTTTTAAAAACGACCGTTAAATGGCATACCAACTTATATGAGGTGTGAAACTTTTACTCCATTTTATCGTGTATTAGAATGAACTATAATGAACTCGCAATGCTCGTCATTATTAACACTTTCTCTTTGTCTCAACAGATGACACATAACAAAAGTCATCTATTGAACTTCTAGATTGTTATATTAAAACACAAATGACATTTTCTGTACAAACTGATGTATTTTGAAGGTCCGATCGACGTCTTCTCAAAGCTTATGAATACAAAAGAAAGTCGGTATCAAATCTATCTCTAATTTTCTTTTGTGACCATAAACCTCGATCAGAAGTCGATTAGACCTAAGTTTTCGATGATATTAATATTGATTTTACTTCTAATCAGACATGCACCAGTTCCAGTCCTGACTGGTGAACTGGGTCTGTACCTATACTGCCATCTTAAGTTATGTTCTTTAGTAGTCAAATACAGAAAACAAATATTGCATGCGTTCTTGGTGACATATTATATCCATATAATAAATTCACAGAAAAACTGGGCATCCTGTTGTTATGAATGTTCACCGGTAAATTTTCAAGGATAGTAATATTGGCATCGCAGTTAAATAAGATTTTTATTAATTACGGTCCTATTTTTTTACTCATTGCCAAGAGTATGTTTTGCTAATTATAGTTAATTCTGTCTTCCTGTTTGATACACTAAGCTATTTTCTAAAGCTCAAAAGAATTTGGAAAATAATGAATTCCATTTAGCAAACAAGAATCATATAAAACATTATTTAGATGGTTTTGAGAAACGAGAGTGAGTAAGAAAATATATTTTAGAATGTAGAGATAACAAATAATATGACATCCTGGTTAGATAATAATGTATTACAAATGGTTAGAACGACCTTATAATCTAAAGCTAACTTTGCGGACATAATTCAGCTAAGTGAATACCCAGTCAACTGGAACTGGTGCATGTCTAGAACTTCTAATAGCGCCATCATGTAGTAGCCCAAGTACCGTAGGACAAATTGTCAGCTTTACCTCTAGTTCTGTGTCAAACATTTATACACTCTATACTTATCGTTTTTATGCAAATTCGTCTTCAGCCACTCTAATATTTGCTATGGATGGTGATGCTGGAGGAGCTGGGCGCTACTGGTGGCTAAGACAGTGTGTCTGTGAATTATACCAATGCAAGCACTAATGTTCTCATCAATGGTGGATTTGAAACGGGAGATTTTACTGGTTGGACACAGTATTGTGCTAGGAGTTCTAATTGCGGTACGCCTTATTATGGGTAAATAACGAACAGTACGTGTTATGCTGGAACTCACTGGTACGTGGATAAATGTCATATGATGTCTTCGGAGAATATCCCCGGAAACTCGATTATGTCCTATGGGTAAGATGTAGATAGATATATAGGTATAGAGGTATAGGAGGTATAGAGGTATAGGAGATATAGGAGATATAGGAGATATAGGAGATATTAATTAAGTAGTGCAGATAATCTGTATGCAGTACTTGACTGTGAATAGTGATTCAGTCAGATATATTCATTCAAGTTATCGATCCTTGCTCGAAAAAATCAATCATAAAAAATAAATAAATGTTTACTGTATCTCCTATATCTCCTATATCTCCTATATCTCTATACATCCTATACCTCCTATACCTATATATCTATCTACCTCTTACCCATAGGACATAATCGAGTTTCCGGGGATACTCTCAGAAGACATGTAATCATAAATGTCGTCCAGGCTATGATTATCTGACACAATCCTTTTCCACTGTGAGTGGAGGATATTACATAATATCATTTTATTTAAGGATCTATAATAGTGGACCAGCAACTTCTTTCGCATATGTCATGTTGACCTAATGAAAGCACTGCAATCAATAAACTGACAGTAATCAGACTTCTTATCTTTTTTGCTTTTTTTTATGAAAGTAAGTCTTCACTTTTCCATTTTTTTCTATAATATATGCCAAAAAAGGCATTATAAATTGATAATCAGTCGTATTCGTTGTCTCTCGATGTCATTTTCAGTATTCGTTGATTAATGATCTATTGTTTTGTTTGTTTTATCCTTCTTTCTATTTCCATGCCATTCAATTTGTCTCGAAAAACTTAATATAAAATGGTTGAAGGATTTTTGACTCTGTAGATCTGAAACGAGTGAGTGAATGTGACATTGCTACCAGAATCAAAAGGCAGACAGAAAATAAACCGTTTTTTCACGACCAGTTCAGTCTTTTTTGATTGTATCGTGTCAGTTTCGTAGTATTCTGCCGAGAACACCGGATCATGTATTTCGGTTGTGACGACCAGATCTCACTTTATTATGGTGGTAAAAATCATATTAATTGATGTAAGAAATCGAAAAATCAAATGGTTTCGTATAAATAGACAACTAATAACAATAACAAGAATGAAGATGACTATTACGAAAAGAGATTTTCAGTGGGATGAGGATGACTAAGACCCAGACTTTGAAACGAGCCGAGTGATCTTAAATATTTGTTGGACTGTCCAGCTCGAATTTTATTTCTTTGTTCAAAGGACATTCATGTACTTTGCAAATGACAACAATCAAGAAGCTTTACAATGAGAGTATACCTTACGAGAGAAAATTACCCCAACTGATTACGAGTTTTCAGCTTCATATTTTGGCTATAGCTATAGCTCATTGAGGCTAAGAAAATACTAGAAGCATTCGTGCTCATTGACTGCTGATCCAAAATTACAGTTGTTTTACAGAATTTTCGCCTACAGCACAGTATCCATATCACAGTGAAATAAAGGCATTTCGATCTAATATTCTGCCAATAAACAGGTCTAATACACGGAGGTAGTTGTAAATTCATTAGTTTTCACAAGTCAATATCTTTTTTTCATAAGGATCTTTCATTAAAAGTTTCTGGATACGTATCTGCTCAAATTTAGTAAATTTTCAATTTTACTTCTTCTGTCATTTCATAGACTACACGAAAACTAGTCCTATACATCCTTAATGTTTATACAAACATTTAACAATCATTGATTTTGTTAGATATTTGTAAATATTTATAATCACAATATATTTAGCTTTTTCAAAGTATTTATTTAAATAGAAGAAATTTTTCAAGAAGCTAATATTTACAATGAAGTAAAATATGAATGAAAATTTTCTGGACGAACAAATGGTTCACATATATAAATGTTTCGTAATTGACTACAATTGAAACGTGCTGCATTATTTGTAAAATTGTTTGTAACTATTGCTAATGGTTCATAATTGATAGTAAGATAATTTAATCGAGGTAAACGAGTATTTGTTTCGAAGAGAAATTGTTCAATATAATCAATATGTACATCCATCAGATAGAGTTCGTTAAGTTGAGCAAATGTAATCAATGTAGACGAATGTTGCTTGTTTTTTTGTGGTTCAGAATTAATTACAGTTAATTTTTGCAGAAAAGGAAAGTCTTGGGAGATAATTTTGAAATATTCATGTTCAAATGGATGTATATCATGCATGGCCAAACATCGAACTTTATCGAAATTACCACGTCGAAATGAGTTTGTCAGACCGAAAAAAGTATCAAATTCATATGGAAGTGAATAAACATGGCATTTGGCACCAATTTTCGATAAATTAACATCGACATATGAATCAATTTGTTTGTATCCGATTTTGATAAAACTATTTTGAATGTCATTATTCGTTGGAAGATCAATTTTAACACCTCCATCGAGAACATGAGTATTTATACTAAATGTAAATTTGTTTAACAATGGCATATTAATGAGAATATCATTGAATAAATGAGTACCATCAATATAATGTAATTGAGTTCTTATTACTTTAAGAAATAATGTCAATTCTTCAAGATTTGACATTCGACACAGTAATGGAACAATTTGTTTATCATAAACATATGTGTCATTGTATGAAATCAATGAGAAACATTTTAATTTGGGTAATTTGCCTAAAAAAAAACAAAAGACAATAAGTATACTTGACAATTACATTTTATCAAAGAGAAAATGATCTTTTTAAATTTATTTGAAGAGCTTTAGTAGTCTTGTTAATGTCTGAGGTTCTCCATTGTGTATCAATTGTTACATGTCTAATTTCACCATCAAGAATAGAATAAAATCGAAACTATACTTACTATGTTATTTATATATGATGAATCTACAATTTCATTTATATCAATAATTAATGTAGATAAACATTCGAGATCTTCATCAAGAAGATAAAGACAATCATCAAAAGTATTAACACTTATTTTCAATTGAGTTAAACTTAATGATTTTAATTTTATACGCTGTTCTGGTGCCAGATTAAAAGTAGGATGTTTTAAACGTCGACCAGATAACAATTGAAAATGCTTCAGGCAGTTACACAAAAATAATATGAATGCAAATAAATTTATTTCCAAATCATCTGTTACTTTTATTATTATGTCATCTTCGATTACGACTTTAAGGTGCGTTATTTGATCATTAAGAACACGAAAAAACATTGTAGTATCTTAAATGTATACAAAACCATGATTAGCATTTGATATTTTTTTAATACAAATCTTTTTTATTGATTAAACCAAAACTCAAAAAAAAAAAAAAAAAAAAAAAAAAAAAAAAAATTAAAGAATATTTACCTCTTAAATGTTCTAAAAATGTTTTCTTTTGAAAATTGACAAGTGATAGCGAGCGAAGTTGAGGATAATCAACAGTATCAAAAATAAATTCCATAAAAGATGGTCCAACCGTGAGTTTATTTACTTTATCATGAATTCGAGGTAAAATTTTTGTGCGAATTCGATCGAAAATTAAAATTTCATTTTCTACCGAAGATAAATCATTAAGCAATGTATTAGCTGTTAAATTCAAATGATGAATATAGTGAGAATCAAATATTAATCGATTAAAAATTGTATTTACATCCACAAGTGAATATAATACATCAATCATATTTAATTTGCTAAGAATTGTAAGTAAAATTTCATCAGGTAGATCGAGTATATTAATATCGTTGCTATTTGAATCATTCATGTTTCACGATTATTATTTGTTTACTTAAACGACTACCTTTCCCTTTCTGTATATATATGTATACTTTGATCTCTCCATTGCCATCTATGAGAATAATATTAATATATAGTACGTGATCTGGTGAAAAAAAGCATAGCTGGAATTGCCAATCAATGTCGAAATATTTTCCACCAATGCACTTTGGTGAGACTGATTTTTAAGAGCCCATTTTTATAATAAATAAAGAAAAAAACTAACATTGAACATTTATGGTATTAATTTCTTCTGATGAATTAAAACTTCGGAGTTATAGACAAAAATTATGAAATTGAATTGTGCGACATCTACTGTTGCATAGTTCTTTTACGCTCTGAAATGCGTGAGACTAATTTTATTGAAAAAATAAAAACGCAGTTTGAAAGACAATTTATTTTAAAGTATTTTCATCGTATTTTTATCTTCTGATGCCTCATAAAAAGTAGAAAGTGCATTTCGACATTGATTCGATGACTTATCTGGATGTGTACATAGACTAATTATTATAATGACTTGATTTTATTATGTGTAGAAGAACTAAATTTAATGTCATAATAATAACTATTTAACACATATAGATTACATAGAAATCTAAGAGAAGAAATCACTGAATAGAAATAAATGATTGAATTAATGATATTTATACAAAGAAAAATAAAACAGAAAGTCCAAATATTTAAATAGAGTATTGAAATTTAATTTTCTCTATTTAATCTTTTCTTTCGTTTAATATAGTTATCTTCAATAACAGCTGTATCTGTATTTTTTAATATCGAAGTATGCTGTGCAGCATCTTTCGAAGGTAATCGATCAGCTGGATTTCGACGAAGTAACTAAAATGAAAAAAAAAAAAATTTTCTTACAAACAAAAACAGACAATTTTTTATTAATTTTCTTTTGTAATTAAATTACGAAGATCAGCTGATGTTCTCCCTGTTGGAAAAGTTAATTCAATTGATTTTATCATTCGAATTGTTTCATATTGAGTTTGACTATCAAATGATGGTTTACCAATAATCTTTAAAAAACAAAGAGAATATAATTAACATTTCATATGTAAGAACATCAGGACATTAAAGATCAATTTTTTCATCATGATCATTTTCATAAAGGAGTTCTGGTGGTAAATAATCTAATGTACCACAAAGAGTCGTTCGTCTTTTAAAATAAATATTCAATCTATCATATAAATCTTATTTGCATGTCGACGTACATTTTCAGTTGACCATCCAAAATCCGCTAGAACGAAAACGAATAACTCAAGAATGATTCTTTGAAAAATTCACCTCATTTCAAAATCCCATATTTTTCAATGAGAATATTTTCTGATTTGATATCTAGAATAGATTAATTTATAATTCCATATTTATAAATCTATTCAAACATACCCGTAAATAGAAAAAGACAAAATTACTTAAAGAAGATACAATACTTTTTCTTGGAATTCTTCGAGATCTTTTTCCTCAAGCTGATAAAGATTTACATGAACATGGAAATATTCATCAAGCTATAAAATGTGCTATTAAAGATTTAAATTATGAATATTGACCAGCACAAGGTGATAAAGCTTTACAACTTTATAATCAAATTTTTCTTCGACAGTACAATGTTACTTGGTGGAGCTGGTGGTGGCAAAACTGCTATGAGAAATATTCTTCAAAAAGCATTAACACATTTACCAACGATAGCAAAAGATGAAACACAAGTGAGTTAAGACCTTCATTCTTCTGTCACAGCTTTGTTGATGATTTAGACACGACAAAGTCGAATGGCTACTGTTGATGTTACAGTTTTAAATCTAAAATCAATGCAAATATCTGAACTTTATGGAGCAATTAATACTGATACATTAGAATTTTCTGATGGAATGGTAGGAAATAATCATTTTAGATATAATATTAAGTATTTTAAATTTTTATTAGCTTGCTAGTGTTATGAGATCATATGCAAAAACTCATGAATCTCAAATGAGTTTAGAGAAAGTAAAATTCAATCGAAGTTTAACTAATCAGTTTTTATTAATAATTAACTCATAGACTGAATATCATACCGATTATTGATAATGATTAGTTCTTGATGGACCAATTGATACTTTATGGGTTGAAAATTTCAATGCTGTAAGTTAAAGAAAATCTATAAAATGAAAATTAATCATTTATTGAAAAAATTTAGTTACTTGATGATTCAAAAATTCTTTGTTTGGCAAATGGTGAACGTATTGGAATATCTGGACATACATGAATTTTATTTGAAGTTGATTCTTTAGTTAATGCATCATCAGCTACTGTTAATCGTTGTGCAATGGTTTATTTAGATCCATCAGATCTTGGATATGTACCTTTTTAAAATCATTGGTATTGATGTAAATTACCTATGACATTACCACATAGTGATATTGAATTTCTTCGAGAATTAATGAATTTTTCATTAGATAAAGGTTTTTATGATTGTGTGTGTGTTATTTGTTTTTTAAATGATGAATTATTTGTAGAATTTACTTTTCTTAATGAATTAAAAGATCCTTGGCACATACCGGTATCGAAATTGAATGTTATACAAACACTTTATTATTTATTATCGACATTTTTAAATTATTTGGATGAACATGGAGGTTTTGGAGAAGAGGATCAACGAAATACAACAGGAATAGGCAGTAGGATTTTTACTGTTGAATAAAAATATCAAATATACATTCTGGAAATTTATTGTAGACAATCCACCAACAACTTCCGGTTCAAAACAGTATTCTCCCAAATATGATTCCCTTCTTTTTTGTGGAACACCATCTGAACGGTAGAAATTTAGGTTCTTTTCGCACTTTAACAATAACTCTCTCTTTCCAAATATCTTAGTTTTGTTGCCTTCCCCATATGCACTGCGAATTCCTTGATGACAGAGTATGAAAGTCGGAATCCTCACTTTTGTTTTTAAAATTTTTGCTTTCCGCCAAAGCTGAGACTATCTACCGTAAGACATTGTATTTTTCATCATGTATCTGTAGTAACTGAAACCTATGTTGATAACTTTCGTCATATCAACTTTTTTTTTATTACCAGTGATGAATTAGTTGTTTATATAATCAATGAAAAAAAAACAATATTATTTACAAAAAAATCCGAAAAACAAACATTCGTCAATATTTTATACGTATTTATATATTTTGTTATGTTTGGAGTTTTGGTGGTGGATTAAAAGTAAGATTTTATATTCAAATATGAATAATTACATTCTTTTTTTTCCATTCTTCTTAGCGAGAAGATAATTTTAAAGATGATAATTTAATAAATCAAAAAGAACAAGTTAAAATCGATCGTGATCCAACTACACAAGAATTCGATACTTTTGTTCGGTAAATAAAATTTCTCATGTCTTTCTGTTTTTCTATATCAACAAAAGCAACTATAAGGATTTGACTCCGGATCGAAATATATGTCCAGTTCTGAGATGAAATTTCACTCTGAAACTTCTAATCGCTTTTCTCTAGTGATTTATTTAATTCTAATGTTAATTATGCTGTTTATTTACCACCTGATTCACGTATGATATTTGATTATATGATTGATTCAAATACATTTTTATATCATGAATGGGATTCAATTGTACCAAAAACTGAACAATTAATTAAAAATGAACATTTACAATTTGTTATACCAACTGTTGATATTGTTCGATATTCATTTTTAATAACAGCAATACTTATACATAAAAAACCTATTCTTTTAACTGGTAAAAAATTATTTTTCATCGCAATTTTTATTTTTTATTTTTCTATTTAAATTTAAGGTAATAGTGTTGTAGGAAAAACATTACTTATTGAAGCAATGCTTCGATCTTTAACATTACCCGAAGGAAATTTTGTTCCACCTGGTACAATTTTAGGTGATGTTCTACAATATAATGCTACAAGACATACAACAACAAGTAAATTAGCACAAGCAGGTGATATACCTGTAGAAAATACAGAAGGTGGAAGTAAGCATTCTCAAAAAAAAACAAAGATTTAATATCTAAATAAAATTTCCTATCTCTCAGAAAATATTTTGGTTCGTTCGAAGCAAAAAAGTAAGTGATTAATTGTGAATTATAATTCTCATTTTTGATATTTATAAAAATAAATAAATATTTAAAAAGGAAAGAAAAACTATAACCTGCTTAATACATTGTGTTATATTAAAAAATATTTTCTCTTGGAATTTAACATTTTATTTACTTAGGTTTACAATCACTTAAAATTCAAATGAGTGCACAAACAACATCAAATAAATTAGTTTTTTGTTTTTTCGTTCGAAAAATTAAAAAGATTTTTTTTTTATTAAGATCAGTAATTGATGCTAAGAAAGATCAAATACGTCCAATATCTGATTTAACATTTATTGCTACTTGTGATTCACCATCATGAGGACGATGTATACCATCAAAACGTTTACTTCAATCATTTTCAATATTTACATTACCTGATCCAGCTGCTAAACAACTATTTCATATATATAGTATTCGTCTTCGAAGATTTTTAAATAGTTTAGAATTTTCAGTTGATGTACGTTCATCACTTTATCTTCTTGTTTCGACTTGTCTTGTTATGTATTATCGTATATCAATTAATATTCTTTCAACATCATCAAAAGTTCATATATTTAATTTAAGTGATTTAGCTAAACTTGCTCAAGGAATAATGCAAGTATCACCAATGAATACAACAGATCAAGAATGTTTAGCTACGTTATTTGCTCATGAATGTTTACGAATATTTGCTGATCGATTAGTAACGGAAAGTGATTTAGCTATTTTTTATAAACATTTAAATGCAACAGTAAATAGTTATTTTAAAATTTCATTAGATATATCAAAATATTCAGAAAATCCATTATTTTGTAATTTTTTAAAATCTGATGATCGTTTATATCAACAATTAAATGATTGGCATCAATGTTGTTCAGTTTTTTTAGCAGTGTCACAGATCCGAGAAATCGGGGATCTTAGAGATCTCTAAGGAGATCTTATACATACCAGCATTTTCACCCTACTCATATATTAGACATATCTGATATTAGCCGTTATCTGTGTAAGAGATACCGTATCTCTAATCAAATCTCCGTAAGAGATGCCGTATCTCCACAATTTCCATCTCCTTATGAAAATTTTTTTTTAATTTTAGCCTCGGGATGATGTTAGAGACGCCGTATCTCTACCCAAATCTCTGTAAGAGATACCGTATCTCTCATTGAGGGTGAGGGCGTATGGACACACACACGCATCTTCGCATTGCAAGTGAGTACGAATAAATACACACACAAGCATCTGCTCATTGAGGGTGAGGGCGTATCAAGGGGGAAAAAGCGCGACTCCAGTATGTGGAGTACCATTGAAGTACCATTGGAGTACAATTGGAGTACCATTGGAGTACCATTGGAGTACCTGACACTGGTACTCCAATGATACTCCAATGGTACTCCAATTGTACTCCAACTTGTTTTTGGAGTACATGGAGTCGCGCTTTTTCCCCCTTGGCTTACTATCATTTAGTTTTACTTCAAACGTTGATGTTCAGTTTGTTTGTTTTAACTAGAAAGAATGCTTTGAGCGAATTCACTGCAGGTTGTGGATGTCGATGGCTAGCAGATCCATCCACATCTACAGTCATAATCAGAAGTTATGATTATTGGATGGTGTGCGTGATGGTGTTGAGTGGTGAGTACATGAGTGTCGCTGTGAATGTGAGGTGGTGGATGCTAGTGTGTGGGTNCATATTACCGTGTAAAATCACTTACACATGATAAAAATGTAATTGATTAGATATGAAGAAATGATAGTTACTTGAATTAGCTGAAAGTGATCAGAAATGTTAGGGTGAGTTCTTCTCTCTCTTATATTAATTTCTACAGTATATACAATTGTTTAGAACATTGTTGAATTTAAAGACTTATTCTCTTGCTTATTCTCATGTTCATAAATGCAAAATGATTGCTCAATTATACTCTTAGCCTCTTAAAATCAAGTGGATGATAACCATTCCTTTAAAGAGAACATATTCTACTGTAATTTAATGAATTATCTTTATTATACTTATTATTCTTTAACTAAAACAATACAAAACAAACTGATATCTAAAATTGACCTTCTCTACAAGAAGAATCATGAACAAACATCCAATAAAATAATCAGGTTGCTTTGACAACGAGATACAACTTTCTGTGTGTCAGAGAAAAGCCAATATGAATTTAGCAAGTCCTGATGAAAAAATAACTATTATGACACAATTTGATTACATTTGGCGCAGTTTTTTTGCAGCATCTTACATCAGAGCAGAGAAACCTTGCTGTTACGTCTCTATAAATTTGATGGAGCTAATTCATCATGGACCGTCTGATTAAGACACACCATTCGCGAATCATATGTGTCACATGCAAGGGGGAAAAACTATTCGGGCATTCCCATCCATTCCCATCCATTCCCATCCATTCCCATCCATTCTCATCCATTCCCACACATTCCTTGATTCTCAAATATATTTCTGGCTTTCTTAAATTGTCGAAATTGTATGATAAGAATGCATTTTTTCCCTTAGATGGTCTATCTTCTACTGACCGAAGTCAAAATATTTTATGTCATATTGACGACTATTTCACAACAGATTGCATTTAATACTATGAGAATAAGCAAGAGAATAAGTCTTTAAATTCAACAATGTTCTAAACAATTGTATATACTGTAGAAATTAATATAAGAGAGAGAAGAACTCACCCTAACATTTCTGATCACTTTCAGCTAATTCAAGTAACTATCATTTCTTCATATCTAATCAATTACATTTTTATCATGTGTAAGTGATTTTACACGGTAATATGGCCAGGTATTTTGTATTTAGATAATCGTTTGAAAAATGCTGTTAAAATAAAACCATACAGATACAGTGCATCAGATAAACTTTTCCATTTACCTTTTAGTATATTGAAATAAGAATATGCTGTACTAAGAAACAGTGATTGTTAATAATTAAACTCGTCAATGATAAACTATTTCAAATTTTTTTCGTATTATTAGTAGTAAAATAAAAAGCTTTAGATCCTTTTAAATAATGTATATTAATCATCGCAATTCGTAGTGGTTCTTGTTTAGTAATATTTATATATTCAAAATGAAATAGAAGATTTATTGAATTAGCAGATAATATTCAGTTTTTAATGCCATTGTAACTTTTTACATTATTTTGAATTCAAATAGATAAAATATCGATGAATACGTTCAGAAACTTTTTAAATATTTGTAATATAATATAATCAAAAAAAGTCTGTCTCCTATCTCGAAAAAGATTATGCTAAACGTCACAAAAAAGAACCATTTTATTGAATATAAAAAATGCATTTTTGTAATTATGACAAATAGCCAACGAAATTGAACAAAAAAAGATAATTATTAAATTTTTTTATTCTTTATTCGTTTGTTGAACACGTACTCGTCTATCAGATGATAATGATTATTTAAATGTGGAA